TACAGATCTATTATTCTGAAGAAATTTATCAGAGCAGATATTCTTATAATATTGAACTTTATAGTTATAAAAAGTTTCTTAGTGTCTGTGAATATTATAACTTCATATATAATAAAACTCATAACAATTTTCTCTAAGAACAGGAAAATCAGCATTAGAAAGAAAAAGATGAAAAGAAAAAAGACTTATAATCTTAATACTATTGAGATAGAGAATAATTCTCTGATATAAATGAATAATTATCTTATCATGAATATTTAAAATGAATGTAATAATCAGTGTCTGTGACTGAGCTTCAGATAGTTGTGTTATACATCATCTTTGTACAATAAATTATTCTAGAGATTGATAAGAAGAATGAGAGTGTATATACTGAGAAACATAATTCACTGAGTCTATATAATATCTTCTTGAAATAAGAAGAGCTAGTAACAAGGCAGCAGTGAGAGCAGAAGTAGTGAGAGTAGAGGTCGCGGAAACAGAGATAGCAGAAGCAGAAGAGCCAGACACAGAAACAGATGTAGAAGATTAAGAGAAAGTGACAGAGAAAGAAACAGTGATAGAAAAGGTAGAGAAGAATGCAGAAGATCTGATCACATATAATACAGATAATTTCTTTATTATCATGTTCTTCAAGTTCTTAATTAATGATTTAATATTGAGTCTACTATCATCAGCAGATGCAGATCTGTCAATATATGAAGATTCTATATAAATAAAAATAAACATATCAGCATCTGCATCTATATAAAATCATGTCAGAAAATACAATCAGAAATGTGCTAAGAAGAAAAATAGTTAAGAGTGTATAAGAAGATGAAGAAGATATATCATTCATAATAATATATTCTGATAATTATTAGAAGATAAACAAGTTCTGATCATGTTTCACAATACATTATACTTACTGCTAATGAACTGTCTGATATGAGTACTATGATGATACTTGTTATGAGAACAGAGAGTCATTGTCAGAAATATGTACAATATGATAGATGAACATATAGAAAGAGTTGAACAGAAGAAGAAGTAAAAATCTTGAATGATGATAATATTTAATAATAATAATAATGAAGAAAATGATTGAAGAATGAAAAAAGTTAGTAAATGAGAAGTATAATATAGTGAAAGTTTCTTTGTGAGAGTGTACAGAGAACACTAGCTGAATCAGAGATAGATTACAAGATCATAAACACTAGTAATGTGCTAATTCATATGAAGCTAGAACAGATGTTATAATTACATAAGCATGACTGAATCTGATGAGAGAGAATGTGATTCAGAAGAATGTATAACTGTCAGATAATAATGCAGCTGCTTTCAAACTTACTTATGAGTGTAAAGAGGCTATAGCAGCCACTAATTAATTTAGTGTATAATATATAAGAAGCCGGCGTACGCCTGTAATCGTACGCTGGCTCAAGCAATCTTTGAATTACAATACACTCACTGCTTCTTATTACAGACTCTTACAGACTCTATTTTGAATCTCTACATCTTTATCAGCCAGGTTCTCATATCTTCATTACAAAAGAACTGTTAACAGATATGTAAATACCAGCTCTACTCATCACAAATCTTGATATCACTGATACTAAGCTCTCTGCAGACATGATAATCAGTTATATTACATTATTATTATATAATACTTCAGTCATAACATTTCACATCTGAATCTTATATAATAATGCAGAACTTCTCAATCTACTATTTTAATTGAACTATGAGAAAGATATCTTCAGCTTCTTCTCTGATATCTCAGAGTACTATGATAAAGAATATAAAAAGAAAGTTCTTAAAATTCTCTATATTCTGCACGCGCTGTTCTTCTCAAAACTAGACAAAGTTAAAAACTTCAAAATATCAATTCTCATTGATGAAAACAATCTTAAAGGTTTTAAATAAAATTCATTCAACATTTTTCTATATGATAAAGAAGCTATGAACTCAATTCTTGATAAACTTCAATAAGTAGATTGTATTGAAAATATTCTCTTTCAATATTCATCTCACACAGCATTTCTCATCTTCATAGTTTGATAAAACAGAAAACTCAGAGTTGTAATCAATCTCTGCAGAATTAACACATGACTATGTTTAAATATCTATTCTCTCTCTAGACAAGATATTATTCTATTCTCTCTTAATAATGAAGTTATATTCTTCACTCTCAATATCACTAAAGAATTTTACCAAGTTCTCATACATATTAAGAACAGATTTAAAACTGTCTTTATAACTCTGCATCAAGATCATCAGCAATTGACTATATTAAGTATAAGTCTAGCATTTAGTTCAGGCTTTTTCCAAAGTATGATGAAGACAATTGTTTGTAAATTCTTATAATTCAGTCTTCTAGTCTATATTGATGACATAAATATTTTTCAAGTTACTGAATTAACATCTCTCTGATCTGTAAGCAATTCTCTCATATCTGAAGACATCTGATCTGACTCTCTTCATTAGAAAGTATTATTTTATCTACTTATCAGTATCTCTTCTAGGTTACAAAGTATCTCATCTAAGACTTTCAATACATGAATTCAAAGTTGAAGTCATCAAGAACTTGTCTTTTCTCAAATCACTTAATCAATTAGAGACTTTCTTAGGTTTGTTCAGATACTACTGAGAGTTTGTTACTTATTACACTTATAAAGTCGAGTCATTGCAGATCTGAAAGATACAGAGATTTCATCAGATATCTTTCAAGAGAAATCTCAGAAAAAAATGAGCTAAGAAGACAATTGTCTCAACAGAAGAATTACAGCAATGTTGATAAAAAATCAACAATGAATTATATAATTTCTTCATTCTCAAGTTTCTTAATTTCTACAAGAAATTCATCATCTATGTAGATGAAAGCAAAGATGATATAATTATAGTCATACATTAGAAGAATAATGATAATAAGAAATATTCTGTTCTCTTTCTGTTCTGAATATTAAAGAGTAGTGAGAAAAACTACAGCTTAACTGAATTGAAAACAGCAGTCTTGATATGACTTCTCAGAAAGATCTCTCAATATTTTAATAAAGACTTCATTATAGTCACTGATCATATTATCTTATAAACAGTATTGCAGACAATCTCTGTTAATAAGCATCTAAATAATCATCTTAATCAATGATCTCTATTTCTATTCATCTTTACCTTGTGTATAAAGATTATACATCAAGCTGAAAAGTCTTACACAAACACTGACTCTCTATTCTGATTATTTACAGTAGAATTTAAAAAGATTAATCAGCTGCTACAGATACAGATCATATTTGAATGTCTATTTACTCATCTTAAAGATACTAAGATCTCTCATTTCTCTGCTCTGTTTATCTGTACTATAGAAAGTTCAATCATTATATTAACAGCTCATATTTTTTTCATAAATCTTCTTCACATGCACCCGGATCTAAAACATAATATTCAGAAGAAAATAAAAACTGATTTCTACTTCTGAGCTATATACAGACATATTATGAAACATATTAAATAGAGAATAGAAAGTGCAAATCTCTATCACAGCTTTTAATAAAATAATGATTAATAACTTCTCTACTATATTTACAATGAAAATCTCTAACTTTGTATATTAAGAAAACTTCAGACAAGAATTCTATTGCAGACTCATAATTATAAAGACTATGATGAATTAGAAAGAATATATTAATATCTTTGTAAATAAATATTCACACTGAATCTCAGAAAAATAATAGTATAATATATAAATCAATACTCAGTGTGTTAAATCACTGTTCTCTGATATTATTAACTCTTCAGAGAACTTCATCTGATACAATCTCTCAATTAACTGTTTACATCTCTATCAATGAATTTCATCACAGATCTATCAGAATCAGACCGATATAATATACTGTTAACTATGATAGACAGGTTCTTCAAATATATCTGTCTAATTTCTGAACACAAACAGAATTCTGTGAAGTAATAAGTCACTTAATTCTTTAATAAGATTGTATAATTCTGAGATCTTTTCAAACAGCTAATAACTGACTGTGATCACTGCTTTTTAAACATCTTTTGAAAGGAATTATTTCAAAGAGCTAAGATCACTCTCTGTCTTACTGCTGTCTATCACTCTAGTGTAAATAATTAAGCTGAATATATAAATCAAACTATTGAAATAGTCTTACAATTATTACTTATCAGACAGATCATAATCTCTTGAAATAGTCTTTTATTAGAGATAGAGTTCAATCTTAACATAGTTACTTCTTAAGTAACAGACTATATCTTCTTTACTGTTCTCTACAGTATTAATTCTATATACATCTTTTCTTCTTAAAATTTGACACACTCATCTTTCACTGATGACTTTATAAATACTCATCTACAAATATAACAGCAAGTTGAGAACACACTTATCATAATCATAGTAGAGATATTTAGCTATTTTAATATCAATCATCAACTGATACAACTATCTAAACAAGTCTACTTATAAGTTATTTATAAAGAACATTATAGCTATAGACTCTTAGATTAATTCATATTACACTTAATTCATATTAGTTCATTTTGCATTCTTGAGAAGATTAGTATTCTAGTATATTATCTAAACCTGCTCTCTAGATTTAGAGATATTCATCTCATTATATTATTAATACATCTTGAGTTCTTCATACTAGACATCTTCAGCTGATCACTTTCTGCTGAGTCAGACTGCATTCTCAACAGCTGTTAATACTGAGAAGTAGAGTGAATCATTGAGAACTGAATATAAGATTATACTTATCGACTAAAAGTACAGTGAGTTCACAGTGAAGAGATATGAAAAGAATGAAATATTCTTCTAGAGAACTGCTCTCAAATGATATGATAATATAATAATATAAAACATAGATTGTGTTATAACTCTTTCTAAATTATTCTACTTTATATCAAATTATTTGCATTGTATCTCTTATTCATGTATTTAGATATTGAGAATAATATCTTTTTTGAAACAGCGGCAGATGTTAGATGCTACATGTTCACATTATATATTAACACAACAACCGCTCCACCACGAACTCGCTCGATTTTTCGAATAAGAACCCGCCGATAGATCCATCGAAAAGCCCTCGATCATACGAGCATTTTGACCCCATCGCCGACCGCATACCCCGTGTGGTGGTGGAGTTATCCAGCCAAACGTGAACCGGACGTTGTTCGAAGCTCCTGTGTGGGATTATCCCCCGTTCTCCCCTACCACACCACAACCCCGGGCCAGAGTGCCATACAAATTGTAAGGTGAAGTGACCTAGCCATATGCACCAATCTTCTCGATTTTGGAAGATCCCCGACCTGTAGTTGTGGAGATATCCGAGGAGCGACCTCCGCGAAAACCCTGTCCATCTTTGATGTTTCAAAACACCAATGCCAAGTCTCACCCTTGTACCGTCCTTCCCAATCTGGCCCATCCCCGGCAGAAAAATACAAAAAGATACCTTGACAATAATATCAAGCACATAATCAACAGACTCTTCTGAAGTGCAATCTCCACAGTCTGCTGCCAGTGTATCTAGACTTCAACACCAAGTCTCACCCCTGTACTACCCCTCTCAATCTGGCCCATCCCCAGCAGAATAATACAAAAAGATACCTTGATAACAGCATTTAATACATAATCAGTGAACAACAAGTCAACAGCACATTAATAACTATAAAATCAGTATACTTCAAGATCTGACTGAGCCTTTGATCCCTGCACAGTGAGATATATTAAATCTAGTTTTAATATGTCAATATTTAATAGATTCTGTAAGAGATTGAGAACAGCAACACTAGGTTTCTATTAAATTTAAGAATTAACTCTATATTGATATAATCATTGACAAAGTCTTCTATTTTAAGATATAAATAATCAGTTTCTCTACATCTCACTGATAATATTTATATTATTATATAGAAACAGACTTATATTCTCTATAATATCAAGACTCTGAAGAGGGAAAGTCTTGATAGAGAGTATATAGTAGTGTATATCTTAGCAGTTTCTATCTCATTCTTCTGTAGCAGTTAATGCAAAAAAAAAGATCTTAGAAATAGTTTTTTACTTCTCTTGAAAAAGTAAGGTGTTTTTCTCTGAGTTTTATACAATATTCTTATAAAGAATTAAAAACAGAGTTATTTTCTGTCATAATTTTATATTCTTTTAAGTAAGAATTACTTTTTCAGTGGCTGAAGAGCTTTCATTAATACTTAATTCTTTTTTACACTCTTTATTAACTGATTTGAGTTGCACACTTGTTGTGTGAGGAGAATTGAATGATTTAGAATAAAATTGAATAGTTTTAATCAATTTCTCTGTAAAAAATTGATTTATTTTTTGTCAGTTTTTCTCTCAAAAACTGTCATATCATCTGATTTATTATCAATTGATATCATACTTTTTCTCACTGTATTTTAAGAAAGAGATTATAAAGATTTTATTGATTTATCTTAAAAATCAATTTTAGTTTATTAGATTCTCTTCAAAAATCTAATCTAGTTACTGAACTAGTGTGAAAAAAATCAGGTGTTTTATACATAAAAGTCTTTTATTCTTCTTTTGAAACAGTCTGACCAACTTTTCAATTGAAAACAGACTTAGAAATATCTCAATTGAAACAGTCTGACCAACTTTTCATTGAGTGAAAACAATGAGTTCAAAAATACACTCAGTTAATGTGAAAAAAGATGCTTTCTCAAATGCTATTTCTGAGATTGAAATTCTGAAGAGAAGAAAGAAAGAAGAAATAGAGAAATAATAAGTTCTTGAAATACAGAAACTTGAAAAAGTAAGCAAGATTCTTGAAAAGCAGTGTCTGAGTGAGATGAATGAAGAAGTTCTGTTAATTCTTCATGCTCAGGCTAGACAACTACAGAAGATGATCAAGTTCAAACTTGAAATCTCAAACACAGTTTAAAAAACCTTGAAAATTCCTAGTACAATCACTGACTCTTCATCTTGCTCTTCTTCTTTCTTTCTTTCTACTTCTTCTTCTTCTTTGAATCAGAAGAAAACATATACTCAAGCAGCTGAATCTGCTGTCTCTAAATCTACTGTCTCAAAATCTGCTCAAAATTCTGAGAAAACTGAGAAGAATACTGCTCATGCCTATATTCATAGAAAAGTGGAAAAGAAAATGTAAAAAGAGAAAAACTTTCAAATCTTCAGAAATAGAAGACTTATTCTCAAAGTCTCAAATCAGGACATTCTGCAAAGAAACAAGCTAAACTCAAATCTCATTTTCAGAATCAGAAATGAAATTAATCAGCAGTTCTTTTCTCAGTTGATGACTGATATTGAAGTTCAAAAACCAGTTATAGCTTCAATTGAGTCATCATTCTTTGAAAACTTCATCATTCTGACTACAATGTCTGAATTCAGTGCTGAATTCCTTATTCAGAATGAAAATCTCTCAAAGTCAGCAGTAGAATCTTTACTAAATACAACAATTCTATCTGAAAGAGATGAAAAGTGAGATAAATTCATTCTTTATGATATTTCAGTTGAAATTTTTGACTGTTAAGAAGGAATGCTACTTCTTAAAAATGAATTGAAAGAATACAACTTCATTCAACTGAGAAAGAAGTCTGTATGACTAAATTCAATTGAGTTCAGACAAAGCAGGAGAAATGCCTCTGTTCTAGTATATATAAAAACACTTGAACAGTCAAAGATCTCTGAAGAAAGAGTAGCAGGTTTGAAAATGAGAGTTCATGAATACAAAGACTTGAGAATGAATCTCAAAGCTCAAACACAGTGTTCAAACTGTCAAAGATATGAACACTTTGCAGTCTTATGTTTTAGAGACTCAAAATGTGCATTCTGTGCCAGAGATCATAAAACTAGTGAGCATAAATGTGAAACATGCTCAAAAAGAGATGAAATTTGTCAACATACTCTGCTTAAGTGCTCTAATTGTAAAGAAAAACATGTATCTAGCTCAAAAGAATGTATGTTTGCTTCTAGAACTCAAAAGAACTGGAGAAAAGATGAAGCTCAAAGTCAATCTAGAACTGAAGAGAAGAGTCAAGTCAGTAAACTCACAACTACAAGCTTAAAAAGAAGAAACTCTCAATTATCTAAGTCTTCAAACTTCAATTCTTCAGTGAAATGTAAACAGAATTTGAATTCTCAAACTTCTGTTAAGATTAGAGAATTGAGAAATGACTCTGATAATAAACTAGATATAATATAAGCAGTTGAGATTCCTACTTTTCAGAACAGTTATAATCTACTATCTGATGATAGTGATTAGATTCTACTCTACTCTCTTTTAGTATGAATATACAACAAAGATAATAAAAAAAGTTTAAAAACTCTTCAAAAATCACATTTATTCAAAATAATGTGAATAGAAACTCAAATTGTATTTATTCTTGTCTTCAAATTGCATTTGAATAAAAAGTTAATTTTATACTGCTTCAGAAGCTGAATTTTGATACTGAGCAAAAATATGTCATTTCTCATTCAAGCTACTACTGCTTTTTACCTCAAAAGTCTGAGATAAAGTCAAGAGTAGTGATCTATGAAAGAAAGAGATCAAGATATTAATTTAATCTAAGATTTGATATCATGTCTGACCCTGATATTCTGATGAGTAATATTATAGATAAAGAAAATGAGTTTGATACTATACAGCTTATAAATATCTATAATGAAAAGTCATTGAAGAAAAATAACAATATCTGAACAATTGATAGAGGATTTCTGAACATAACTTCATCAAGAAACTCTATAATTGCAGGAGATTTCAATACATATCATTTCTGATAAAATTCAGAATGCAAGAGAGCAGTGAGAGCTGATAATCTGATTGAATGAACTTTTGAGCATTCAATAGATTTGGTTAATAAGTCTGATCAACAAACATTCTTTAGAAAAGGCATGAAATAGAAGTCTATTATAGATCTAATATTCATGTCACAAAATCTAATGAAAAGAAGACTTGTAAACTGATTTATTGATTCAAATGAGACATCAGAATCAGATCATGAGATTATTTAATTTGATATTGAACTGAGTGAAAAATAAATAAGTGAAAACCCTCTTCTCTCTAATCAGTATAACTTTGAAAAAGCTGATTGAAAAGCAGTTAAAGAAAGCATAAAACTGTTAAAATCTGAAAGACAGAATGAGCTATATTGAAATTCTGGTCAAGATATCTCAAATGAAATGCTTGAGAATAGAGTGAAGCTTATTACATTTATTATTCTAACAAGTGTTAGAGATAATATTTTAAAAAGAAAATCTTCTGAGTATTCAAAATCTTAATGAAATAAGAATATCTCATCTAAAAGAAAAGAATTAGCTACTGCTAGAAGAGATTGAAAGCATGATGTAATATCTGATGAAGAGTTTAAAGCTGTCAGAAATGAATATTTTTCAGATATTAAAAGAGCTAAAACAGACTGCTGGAATGAATTTCTTGAAGAAGTATAAGAAAAGGAAGTTTTTAAAGCTTTTAACTATACTAAAACAAGAAGTGTAGCAAAACTTTCAGCTCTAGAATATGAGTTTCAGAATGAATCATATACAGCAAACTCTTTTGAGAAAAAATGTCAAGCTTTCATGAGAATTCTCTTTCAGAACTCACCAGATTCAGATTCAGATTCAGAGAAAGAGAATATATCACTTCTCAACTACATTGATGAAAATGACTGAGAATGGCCTGATCTTACACAAGATGAATTAGAGTCAGCTATCTTCTCAAGTTCTGTTAAAACTACTGCAGATCCTGATTCAATTAATCACTTGATTATTCAGAATACATATTCCTACTTAAAGAATGAATATTTTGAGCTCTTTTTCAATCTCTTGAAAAATGAATATCATTCTGAATGCTGGAGAGAAGCCACTGAAGTGATTCTTACAAAACCTAATAGAAAAACTTTAATTCCTAAGTCATATAGAGTAATATCTCTATTGAACTGCCTAGAAAAGGTTTTAGAAAAGATAATAGCTACTCAACTATCTTTTATAAGCTCTATAGATGATTCTCTTTTATTCAGTGAAGAAATGAGAGATAGAAAACAGTGTTCTGTAATTAACACTGTTCTCTCAGTTGTTCATGATATTCAAATAGCAAAGCATGAGGATCTGGTCTCAACTGCAGTTTTTATTGATATAAAAGAAGCATTTGATCATGTTTTAAAGTCAAAGTTAATTCAGACATTGAAGATATTAAAACTGTCACTTTCTCTAATAAAATGAGTTAACTGTTTTATGTCTAAAAGAATTATACAACTCTTCTTTGATGAAATGAAATAAGACAAGACTGAGATAAAAATAGAAGTATCACAGAGATCTTCAATCTCACTCATTTTATTTGCAATATACACTGCATATCTATTCAGAAATAGAAATATGAGAATAGTACAATCTCTGAGTTATATGAATGATATTGATCTAGTCTACAGCTCAAAAACTATCAAAGAGAATTTAAAAGTAATTGAAGAAGTTGCAAAGAAAATCTTTGTTAGAGTAGATATCAATCAAATTCAATTTAATATGAATAAAACTGAGTTAATTCATTTCTTTTCTAGATTCAATGAGAAAGAACTATCTCTAACTCTTTTAAATAGAGAGATTAAACCCAGTGTAAATATCAAATGATTAGAAGTATTGTTAAACTTCAAGTTGAATTTTAAATATCACATTCAACAAAGAACTGTCAAGGCAGAAAGACTATTGAATAATATAATCAGACTATTAAATACAGAGAGGGATCTATTCTTCCAGGCTATGAGACAGTTATATATAGTCTGTATTACATCAGTAGCTGATTATGAAGTTCAAGTTTAATGAAATAATCAAGGGAATTTCACTGAACTCTTTCAAAGTCTGCAAAACAGAGTCTTGAGAAGAATTCTGAGAGCATTCAAATCATCTTCTATTAAAGCAATGAAAATTGAAGCTTTAATTCCTTCTTCTGCTATTAGATTTGAAAAGGCCTGTATGAACTATGCTCTGAGAGTTGTAAAGATGAGCTCAAATCATATAATCAGAGAAAGAGTCTCTTCTTCATTTTCATCAATTAACTCTGAAAATGAACTGGATTGAAATAGATTTCTTGATTGAAATAAAAATAATTCTTCAAAGAAAATGTCTTCTCAACTATACAGACTATGCTCTCTGATTAAAAATCAATTTTCTTCTTTAAATGTTGAAAAAGTTGATCATGAGAAGTTATCTCTCTGAAGAAAAAAGCTTGAATCTCTTATAGAATTATAAATAAGTGAACTATCAAAAGAGAAAGAATATGAACAGCATTTGAAGAGAATTTCTACAATCAATATAAAAGACTCTATTCTGATTTATTCAGATAACTCAAAAAATGAGAACTTGAATAGATTAGATGCAGGCATTGCTTATACTGAAGATAATATTAATTTTATCTCAGATTTCTGAAATCTAGGCTCTGAATATGAAGTCTTTGATACTGAACTATTTGTAATAGTGAAAGCTTTCAAACTCATTGAAATAAAATCTCATAAAAGAGAAAATTATTTGAAAGAGATATGAATATTCTCTGATAGTTAAGCTGCTTTAAAAAGATTTAGAAATAGTCAGATTCATAATAATCAAATAAATCTTGAACTGATCTTAAACTCTGTTTTAAAAATTCAAAAGAGAAGAACATCAAAGCTGAGAATTTATCTACACTGAGTTCCTGCTTATATGAATATTCATAGCAATGAATTGACTGATTCAGCTGTAAAAAAGAGTGCAGAATTAAACAGATCTATTCAAAAAATTATATTCTGGTCTTTTATAAAGAGAAAAATAAAAGAATCTTGTTTAGATAAGTGAAATGAAAGCTGGCAGAAACAAAAGAAGAGTATACATTATTCAAGATTTGAAACAAAACCCAAGTGAAAATCTTATTCAATTAAATGTAAAAAGAAAATATTCTCATCTATAATACAGCTGAAACTAGAACATGGCTATTTCAAATCTTATATACAAAGATTTGATGATAGATTTAACTCAATAGAATGCTTATTCTGCAATACAAATGAGAATTCTGAGTATATTATAATACACTGTGCATTATACAATAGTCTCAGAGTCAGATTGAAAGAGAAGTATAATCTAAATCAATTAAATATGAGATTCTTATTCTCAACTGAGACAGGAATTAAATACTTAATAGACTTTCTATCAGAAACTCAAGCAGCTATAAGAAAATAGCTAAATTCAGAATTATCTGAATATGAAGAGAAGAAAATCAATCAGATATAGTCTGTTAAAACAGCTATACACTCTCTTTTAATAATTTTTTTTGTTATAGTCTCTCTTTATTTTATCTTTTTCTGTATCTTTTTCTTTCAATTTCTTTCTATCTATCTATTTAATATGTCTATCTTTGAGACTGTGTTCTTTCTCTCTTTTCTTTTGTCATGATATTGTCAAATGATTTCAAAGTATTAAAAGATGTTAAAACACTGTAATTTGTAAACAGTTTTTGTATTCTGAGCTGGAATTTTCTGATTTTGCATATCTGAAATTGATGAATGTACAATAGTTAACTTTACAGACATAGAAAAAACTCTGAGAACTAAAGTTCTCAGGTAGATGTCATAGTCTCTGACTGTATACATCTATAATTGAAGAATAATAATAATAATAACATTATATATTATATGTGTATTTTCCATCATGCCTGTGTAATTCTCAGAACGCTTACTTTTTCCTTCTTTATATATTCTCATTCTCTCTCATTCTAGTTAGCTAGAAGAGAATGAAACTCAACTTCGTTAAATAATATTATAAATAATAACAATCAATTATGTTCAATCTCTCTCACAGGTTATAAAGCTCTTGTACTTCTATAAAGTGTTATAATCATGTAATAATTATATAATAAGCTTTTCAAATAGCTGCTTCTTTCATTTAAATATCTCATATTAAATATCTGTTAATACAAGATCAATCAATTGTGAAGAAATTTCAGAGAATTAAACTACTGCATCTGAATTCTTTTCAATCTTAATAACTGTGAGAAAATCATCATATAATAACAATAATTAAGATAATGATAATATAACTGACGAAGCTACTATCTTGAGATAATATATTATTCAGATAAATAAAGAACTATATTAGATAAGAGCTTCTAGTAATTCTACTACTACAGCTACTGTTAATAATAATAATAATCTAAACTCTGATCTTACTGCTTATCTTCAGAATTAAGAGAATATCTCTACACTAAGCAGAGTTCTTCAAGAATTCTATGAATGTATTAAATATCTTTAAAAATCAGGTCTTTTCAAATCAATATCTGATTACTTCATTTGAGAGAAAGAGATTCTACTTATTATTAAATAATCTCATATAGAAGATATTCTTACTAGCAAACTCTTAAAGAATGTCTTTAAGAATATGAAATAATTCTGAGAGAAACACAACTTCTGACTATATAATTTTATATAATCTTCTATTTCTATTGAAGTCAAATCTCTTTTTACTATATCTCAAGATTTTCTGAGTTCTGCTACTCTATGAAACATCATAGCAGCCCCGGTGGCCGAATGGTTAATGCGGCCACCCGGTAGCGCCTTGGCGTGGGAAACCAAGGCGTGTGGGTTCGAAACCTGCAGGGGATACATTAAATCCGGAACTCAAGCACCTCAGGTTCCTAATAAATACAGAGGTGTACAAATCGCTCCAATAAATCGCTCTATGTTCCTGGGCTGGGAAGTTATTATCGCATGTATCTAATTGTCACTCCTTTGTATTTCCTATGTTCTTGTTATCTTGACGTGGTCTCAACACCTGTATTTCCTCCTGTATAATCAACACTTGGCCTGTATTTAACATCACGCAAGGACTCATCATAAGCTCCGCTTGCATATGAGTATAATGGAAGAATAATGAATAATAATAATAATAATAAACATCATAGCAGTATTAATTTCAGAATGAATGAAAACTCACAGAGTCTGTCTATTCAAGAAATTTAATGATATCAGTGTAACTACTATCTATGATAGCTTCAACTACTTATTCATAGAATATCTACTTACAATTTATATTAAGTATATTCATCTTGAATATATTAATATTCTCAACATTATATTCTTTGACAAGCTTCTCAACAGTCTTATCAAGAAGTGATCAATCTTTATCAGAGATCACATGAACTATGCAGTAAAGAATGATAATATTACATTACTAGAAGATGATTTTCTTGATCTCTGCAGAGATATACTACTCTATCTGCTGTTGAATGACAAAAATATCAGAAATAACATAAAGAATAACAAAGATGTCATCAAGAATGTGAAGAATAATAAGAATATCAAGAAGAAATGCACTGTCTGTAAGATGAAAGGTCATGATGAATCAAGCTGCTGATTTGAATATTCAGAGAAATGATCTGCAGATTGAAAGAATAGAAAGAAGGTCAATGATGATGATGCTGCTACACCTGTATGCTACAATACTGAGCAAGTCTTCTAATGATGCTTATGATGACCGCCAATATCGACGCCAAAACGATGGAAATACCGATAACGATGCCAGGCCCCAGTGCCTATATGATGCCAGGCCACAGTGCCTATATGATGCCAGGCCCCATTGCCTACGATGCCAGGCCCCAGTGCCTAATATGATGCCGGGCCACCGATTGCCCATACGATGACCTATGCCGATGACCTATGCCTATGCCTATGACGATGAAAACCACAAAAATAATGAGAATGAGATCCCGCGGCGTTAGAACGACTGGGGGTAATACCAATACTGAAAGGACAGATTTGGGCGTTCTTCTTGCATGTTTTTTATGTTTTTTCATGTATGGAGCTAGTCCTTATGAGGAAACTAGACTCTACTTTTTGTAATTAATTTTTATTGCAGATTTGAATAATTTGGGCGCTTTTGACTGCATGGGTTAACTGGTCTGTGTAGCATGGGGGGGTGTTGAAGCTACTAGGTACACAATCCCTAACTCACATGACCCACACACATATATTTAGCTTTCACTAGCTACTAGTTAAACAACAACAATCAACCATGTTCAACCTCTCTCACAGGTACTAACAAGCTGCTGACTAACACACCCTCCACAAACGTCATGGAACGAGCTCCTCCTGCATTCGATGATTTATTCTGTACATCCTCCGCCACTTCAACCCATACCAGGTACAAACTTGCTACCTAGGTACTGATCGGTTGTATTTCCAATTCACACACACCATGACAGCCAATATTCCGGCGCCCCTGAAAGCTGCAGACATCACCCGCTTTGTGACTCGAGCGTCACAGCTCGACAAAGCGAAGCCAGTGATATCATACTGGTGTACGTTCATTCCATGCTGTCGAGCTATCCTTTGCGGGGACAAGGGAATAGGAACGGGACTGACACTTTGGAACTCGATGACTAGGCAATTATTGGATTGTGAACCAGATATTATCAAAAGGTCTCCACAATTCAGATAGCGAATGTCTAAAATACACGACAGACCTGATGGATAAGCTGGAGAAGGTTGGTTTGCCTGGTTCACCTGCTCCCTGCGCAGATAGAGATTAATTGGAGCTAACTTTTCTTGTCTTACAAATGTTTTCTTCCTAGTTTAAATCCGAACACGCTGATGATGATACTGTTACGGATGATGCTGCTGGACAGGCTTATGTGGAGCAATTTGGGTTGGAAACTTTTCAGCGAGCCGACAACGCGGTGCGGGCCAACAAAGCTTCATTGTTCGCCAGTAAACCTATGCTCTAGCTTTTCGTCGTACGAGTTTTGGCTAACCATTCGAGTTAGACAAACAGCGGATACGTTCCAAGCTGCGGCCACATTCCTTGAGCTATCCCAGATATGGGGACCGATCGACCAAGAAAAGGCGGCCAAGATTAAATTTGCAAAGTATCATGCCTTACGCATTGCTAAAGCTATTAAGGCAGGGGAGGATCCGAATTTATCGAATCCATCGATGGAGGAGGAGGGAAATCTAGACGATGCACCTGCCTTGGATCCTAATGATCCTGAAGTTCAAGCGCTGGGCGGAACCCCATCTCAATTAGCGCCAGAAGTAAAACTACGGCAGCCGTCTGTGGAAGATGTCCCAGATGAGTTTGACAAAGAGGAGCGAAGATTAGCGAAACAGTCTATCCTAAACGAGTCCCTCCACCCCTCCAGAGCCTCGTCTCTTCCCCCTCCACGACGAGCTGAATCAGGCAATGTCACAGCTGCATCCAGTACAGGCCTTCCCAGCCCTCCCACGTACTCAGCTGGTATAGTAGGCCTTAGCCCTGACGATGATGATGCGCGCCAGCGCGCTTCACATCTCTCTAGAGTATTTGTTCCTGATATTCCAGCAGCCCCCTCGGACTTCCCTTCCCCCGCCTCAAGCTCGCAAGAGCTATCCGACCCGGGTCCAGGCCCAGGCCAGTTTTCAGAGCGCAGGACATCCCTGAGTACTTTCCAATCCTTCCCGGCTCCAACAACGCAACCCGCAGAACCCCCCAAAACAACCGACCTCCAAGGCCCAGCAGGAATACACACGCCACCTCCCACCACACTTGAAGGATGGACTCGACCTACCCCACCAAATACCGTACCGCCCACCAGTATCCAACCCCCAAAGACCATGCATAGCATAAGCTCGTATTCCAGCCCGCCACCAAACCAAGGGGTTGTAGATGAGGACTCGATCGCCGAAGCCCAAAAGCATGCCCGATGGGCTGTGTCGGCGTTGAATTTTGATGACGTGCCCACTGCGATTAAGGAGTTGAGAAATGCCTTGAATAAGCTAGGGGCTCAGTGATCTAATCTTAATTTCTAATTGTCATTGTTTTTTACCTGTTTTTTTTTTTTTCTTTATTGTGTGTGTGTGTATAAGTTGACGTTCTTCGTTAACGCCTTCGTTGCAGCATCGCGCTCTATTTTTATTCATTACGTTGTATAAAATTTGAATGAGTAATAATGAGATATTTATATGTAAGGCTTCTTTTCTTTTCTTTCTTTTTTCAGTTTCCAGTTTGTTTTGCAATTAGCAGGAAATCCCATGATCCGAGTCAACTATCCTTTCACTTTTTCATTCTTCTTTTTGTGTATCGCCTTGGGCTTTTTGTATCCTGTGTCGGTGTTATCTTTCATCCTTTGGTAAAAAGAAAATTGAGAAATTAGAACACAACGCCAAACATCCAGCAGCGGCTTACCCCTTGGGTCTATCGTCACATATCAGATGTGTACCTGTACATCCCTGTGGGTTTCTGGGGAAGATGTCAGCTCCCTTATTCTCTATCGCCATGACGATTCCATTAACGTATCGAATACCGCAAATTGAGAAACTTTCCTTGGGAGAAGAAGACGGGAGGTTCGCAGGGGGGGTGATATCCTTGCCCTTCTAAATAAAAAACCAGGTAACAAAAAAAAAAGTCCGCTCTCGCATTTGTTATTATACTCTATGTACAGTAAGTTACATGTACATTACGTGTACCGGCGCTTTATCTTCTGAAATCTATCAAGGACCATGGGTACATTCATACCATTTAAGAGGAGCCTCAGAGCCAGGCATTCCTCGATTTTACTCTTTTTGCTAGAGATGAGATATAAAGTAACGTAATCAATCATCTAACGCTCGTTTCCACCTAACACTCGCCTTTGTAAATCAATTACAATCAACTTCAAATATTCATATCTCAATGAATATTTATTTTAAAACTATTCTAAAAAACAGAATGATAATTTGTAGATATATATTATATTATATTAAATTTGTATGAGAAAATAACATATAATTATTAATTTATTAAGCTTTTTAAAATACTATTTTAAAATAAAATACATAGTTTATATTATAAATATATTTATAAATATAAAATATTTTCATATAAAATTTAAATATTTTATAGATTATATATATTTTTAATAAAATATGAAATTTTGTCTTGAAATTCTTATTTATTATTGATTTATTTAAATTTTTATATAAAGTTTTATATTTTAAAATACTATTTGTGTAATAACTATGTATTATTTATACTTTAAAATTGTAATTTAAATAAATTATTATATCAAATCATTTAAATATATTTATATTTAATAAATTAATTTTCAAAATTTAAAATTTCAAGAATTTGCAATATTTTACTTGTAATTTATAAAGAAAATTATAATAAAAAAATAAAAAAATTCTCAAAAATTATAATATAGAATTCTTATATAAAATAATTTAATATTTATTAAATTATAATATATTTATATAAGAATTATTATTTTTAAGAATATTTAATACATATTTCTTAATTCATAATAAAATATTATATATTTTATTTTACTGTATTTTATTTTCTAATTGAATCTATATTATAATTAATTTTAACTATATTATAATAATTTTGAATTTCATTATACTATAAGTCTTAATATTTATAGATTACAAATTAAAAAACTAAAATAATAAATATTTATTAAGATATTAACATTTAAAGTTAATTGTAATTAATTTACAAAGATAAGTGTTAGATGAAAATGAGTGTTAGATAATTAATTACATTACTTGTATTACTACTTACTTAATATAACTAATTATTTAATACTTATTTTCACCTAACTTTCACCTTTGTAAATCAATTACAATCAACTTCAAATATTTATATTAAATTAAATATTCACTTAAAACTATTCTAAAACACAGAATAATAAGTTGTAAATACATATTATATTATTATTAAATTTTTATAAGAAAATAATATATAATTATTAATTTATTAAACTTTTTACAACACTATTATAAAATTAAATACGCAGTTTATATTTATGAATAATAAAGGTAAAAGATTGATTATTTATATACTAATCTAGTCATATAGTATTCTATAGATGTGTGAGTTATATAATCTTATATAGAGTATTCAGTCAATATCTCTTCTGATTACAAGTACTTAAGTATCTGCTAACTGATGTAAATATTACATACAAATCTTGCTTAGTTATCTCATTGATTCTTTCTCTTCAAAGATTTCTTATATTATATTAATTAACTTCTAACTTCTAGCTTTAGTATTCTTTATTCTTGTTTCTTTTCTTTCTGAAATTTCTCTACAATATTCTGCTTTTATAGTTTAAAACATCTTTCTCATTTTATAAGTTCTGACTCTAACTCTAGTACTGACTCTAGCACTGACTCTAGCTGTGACTCTTCTGACTCTAATAATAATATAATATCTAACTCTGACACTTAATTCTGGTATAACTTTGATAAGCAGTCATAGTCAATTATTAAAGAATTAATTAAATATTTATATAGAGTAGGTCTTAAGTGTTTAATGAAATGAATTACTTAATTATAGTTGAGAATGAAGCTGATTTAATTATATATAAAGAAGATTGAGCTATGTTATACCTTTTGTAAAGACCTTTTTCATGCCTCTTATTAAGAGCTTTTAATATCTTATATTTTAAGAGTGTTGTTAATCTTTGAACATGAATTCTTGTTATTTACTAGTTATTATGTTAAGTTGTTATCTTATTAACTGTTGTAGAAGACTCACAGAACTAACCTATTTTTAAAGCATGTAGTTAATACTGTGAGAGCAGTTAAAAGTCTAGACTGACTGTGTAACTATGTCTGAGACTAGAATCAGAATATTTAATAATTTCATTATTAATTTAATTAATCTCATTACACAGTTTTAAGATTAGATAGTAGTTTCATACTATCTCAGTGAGACTTACTGTCTACTCTTATCACATTTTTTAAATAAGATTATGATTTTCACTTCTCAATTTAAATTCTTTTTAGTGCTTTAAATGACTTTAAATCTCATTTAAGTATTATCAAAAAGTGTTACTTTTTAAACAATTAAAAATAGTCTAAAAGAAATCTCAAAATGTCTAAAAATAGTAACTTTATAATAAGAATGAGATTAAATAGAATTGAATAAGATTACTTTCTTATTATTTCTAAGTTATAATTTCATTTTGAAATCTGATAAATAGTCACTTTGCATGTTTTTTTAATAGTTAGTCTCAGTGTAATTCACACTAAGACATGTATGAAATCAGATTAAATGAGATTAAATATGAAATTCATCATCTCAGTGATCAGTCTACAAAAGTCTATAATTTAATAAAGATAAAAAATTAATTGTTTATACACTAATCTAACCGCGTAGTATTCTATAGATGTGTGAGTTACGTGGCCTCATATAGAGTATTCAGTTGATAATAAATATATTTATAAATATTAAGTATTTTTATATAAAAATTACATATCTTTTAGATTATATATATTTTTAATAAAATATAAAGTCTCAGGGACTGAATAATTAATACAGCTAGTCAGTGATGTTTTAATGTAAGAAATCAAGATATACTGATTTGAAATCTATAGAAAATATATTAAATTTAGAACTCAAGTATCTCAGATTTCTAATAAATACAGAGATGTATAAATTACTTTAATAAATCACTCTATATTTCTAAGCTGAGAAGTTATTATTGTGAAAGATGTAAAGCTTACTTAATTAAAATTGCTAGCTTGTAATACACTGACTAGCAGAATCATGTCTCAGTAACTAAATGATTAATACAGCCATCTGATAGCATCTTGATATGAGAAACCAAGACGCGTGGGTTCAAAACCCGCAGAGAATATATTAAATTCAGAACTCAAGCATCTCAGGTTTCTAATAAATACAAAGGTGTACAAATCACTTTAATAAATTGCTCTATGTTTCTAAGCTGAGAAGTTATTATTATATGTATCTAATTATCACTTCTTTGTATTTTTCTATGTTCTTGTTATCTTGACATGATCTCAACACCTGTATTTCCTTCTGTATAGACTGGCCGCCGGGACCATGAATTTCACATTTGATTTCATTTGATCTGGTCTCATACATTTCTTAGCATAAATCCTGCTGGGACTGGCTATTAAAAAAACATGTAAAGTGACTATATATCAGATCTGAAAATGAAATCATGACTTGAAAAAAATAAGAAAGTGATTTCATTTGATCTCATTTAGTCTCATTCTTAGCATAAAGTTACTATTTTTAGACATTTTAAGGTTTTTTTAAACTATTTTTAATTTTTTAAAAAGTAACACTTTTTAATAATACTCAAATGAGATTTAAAGTTATTTAAAGCAATAAAAATAATTTAAATTGAGAAGTGAAAATCATGATCTTATTTGAAAAATGTGATAAGAGTAGACAGTAAGTCTTACTGAGACAGTATAAGATTACTATCTAATGTTAAAACTGTGTAATGAGATCAGTTGAATTGATAATGAGACTATTAAAAAATCTGGTTCTGATTTCAGACACGGTTACACGGTCAGTCTACTTCTGTATAATTAACACTTCACCTGTATTTAACATCACACAAGATCTCATTATAAGCTCCGCTTGTATATAAGTATAATGAAAGAATAATAATAATAATAATAACTAGCAGAATTATGAATTTCACATTTAATCTCATTTAAACTGATTTCATACATTTCTTAGTATGAGTCTCATTAGAACTAAGTATTAAAAAATTCTGAAAATAAATCATTTCTTTCAGAAATGATGTGAAAAATAACTAGATTTAATTCAAAATAGTGAAATAAGAGTAATATCTTAAAATAAATAGTGAAAGATAATCATTCTTTAAAAATCAGAATAAGATTAAGATTAAAGATTAAATTTAATCTTATTCAGATTATTCAGTGATTATTTATATAATCAGAATTTGATAATAATTATTACTAATACTTCTAAAATAATTAAATATATTCTTATATAAGTGTATTCTTTACTTTCTTATAAAAACTACATTTCTCTGATATACTGTGATCAGAGATATTAAACTATCTGATAATTTCATATTTTATAATTATAAGTTTCTCAATTATTTCTTCTTATAATTCTCTTTAATAATAGTGATAAATATCTCAGCTTAAGTTAGACTTTTACTTTATTTATATCTAGACTGACTGTGTGACTGTATCTGAGATCAGAATCAAACTTTACAGTTATTATATTATCTAAAAGTATTACTTCTAATTATAGTTTATAGTTATTACATTAATTCTAAATCATATTATTTTAAATATTAAAGATCTCAGATTCACTTTTCAAATAAAAATCTAGTCTTAGATAAAGAATATATATGAATTCTTAATTACATTTTCATTCTGATTTCATTATTGAGAATGGCATTAAATAAGACTATAAAATTATTTCTCACTTATATAATATCATAACATAGTACCTATTTATTGAAAATTTAACAGAGAATGTTATCAAATATTATTACTTTTCTAAACATAGATTATAATTCATATAATTTTAATTAAAAAAAAATATAAAATACACAAAAATTATGAAAAAACAAAAAACAAAATAAAAACAAGAAAAAATTATCAAAAAATGAGAATTTGAATAGATTAGGCGCAGGCATTGCTTATACTGAAGATAATACTAATTTTATCTCAGATTTCTGAAATTTAGGCTGTGAATCTGAAGTCTTTGATGCTGAACTATTTGCAATAGTGAAAGCTTTCAAACTCATTGAAATAAAATCTTATAAAAGAGGAAATGATTTGAAAGAGGCATGAATATTCTCTGATAGTCAAGCTGCTTTAAAAAGACTTAAAAATAGTCAGATTCATAATGGTCAAAT